GAAGGCTCCAAGTGGTCCAAAGTGAAAGCCCCAGATCTCTTAAAGCCTAAACTCAGGTATTACCATTGCATCTCATTCTACTGGCTAGAGGCGTTCGCAGGTGTAAGTGTGGGCGAATAGGCCCCAGCTTTCCTTGGGGTGAGTCGCAGTGAATTTGTAGCCATCTTTAATCCACCACAGTTTGGAAATTATTTTACCCTTTTACAGAAATAATAACAGTATCCACTTCATAAATTTGCAATAATCAAATGATTTAACATAGCAAGGAGCTTATTATAGTGCCTGGACGCTGTAACGGCTATATAAATGCTTATTATCATTACTAGGTTTATACCAAAAGTGTAGATAACAAAAACAAAAATAGAGAAATGTATTACATCACACTTAAAAGCCTCTACAACAAAGCAAACGACTAACAAAACAAAAAGGCAACCTACAGAATGGGAGAAAATATTTGCAAACCATATATCTGATAATGGGTTAATTTCTAAAATATACAAGGAGCTCCTACAACTCAATAGCAAACAATAAGAACAACACCACCACAAATAACCCAATTAAAAAGTGGGCAAAGGACTTTAATTAACATTTCTCCAAAGAAGACATATAAATGCAACAAGTATAGGGAAAAGATACGCAATATCATCAATTATCAAGGAAATGCAAATCAAAACTACAATGAGGTATCATCTCACTCCTGTTAGGTAGCTAATATTAAAAAAAAAAGATGCCAATTGTTGATGAGGTGTAGGGAAATCAGAACACTTGTATATTGATGAGAATGGAAAACAGTATGGAGATTCTGCAAGAAATTAAAAATGGAGCTACCATATGATCCAGCAATCCCACTTCTGGGTATATATATACACCCACTTCTGGGTATATATATTGAGAATTGAAATCCACTCATCTCTTTGAGATGGCTGCACTCCTGTGTTCATTGCAGCATTATTCACAATGGCCAAGATATGGAAACAACCCAAGCGTCCACTGACAGATAAATGGATAAAGAAAATGTGGTATACACATGCAATGGAATGCCATTCAGCCTTTAAAAAGAAGGAAATCCTGCCTTTTGCAACAACATGCATACACCTGGAAGACATTATGCTAAGTGAAATAAGCTGGTCACAGAAGAACAAAAATTGCATGATTTCACTTACACGAGGTACCTAAAATAGTAAAACTCAGAAGCAGAGAATATGACAGTGGTTGCCAAGGGTTGGAGTGGGGGTGAAAATGAGGAGATGCTCTCACTGCGTAGACAGTTCCAGTGGTGCTAAATGAATAAGTTCTAGAAATCTGCTGTACAACATGGTGACTGTAGGTGACTATATGGTCACGTGCACTTCAAGATTTGTTAAAAGGATAGGTCTCACGTTAAATTAAGTGTTCCTCGTGCACAGGCACACACACATACACACACACACACACACACGCACACACACACACAGGGACACAAGGAAACTCTGGGAGGTTTGGATATGTCCATTCCTTGATTATGGTGATGGTATTACAGGTGTTTGTATATGTTCAACCTTGAAGGTGTTCTCACTGGCTAAATCTAGGCCATATTTAGCATCAAAACAATAATGATGATAAGAGATACAATCCACTGAGCAAAATAAGAATCCATAAGTCCATACTGATATAAATAAATAAATAATCAAGGAATCAACAGATAAATATGAGGGAAGGAAAAGCACTTCTTTTTCTTTTTAAAAATACTTTATTTATATTTTATTTAGCTAACATGCAGTGTAATATTGGTTTCAGGAGTAGAATTTAGTGATCCATCACTTACATAACACCCACTGTTCATCATAATAGTGCCCTCCTTGATGCCCATCACCCATTCAGGCCATCCCCTCCTCCCTCCCTCCATCAACCCTAGTTGTTCTCTATAGTTAAAAGTCTCTCTCTTTTTTTAAAGTTTATTTATTTATTGAGACAGAGAGAGAGAGAGAGAGAGAGAGAGTGTGTGTGTGTGTGTGTGTGTGTGTGTGTGTGTGAGCAGGGGAGGAGAAGAGGGAGAGGGAGAGAAAGAATCCCAAGCAGGCTCCATGTTGTCAGCCCAATGTAAGGCTGGATCCCATGAACTGTGAACCTGAGCCGAAACCAAGAGTCAGCCACTTAATTGACTGAGCCACCCCAGTGGCCCTATAGTTAAGAGTCTCTTATGGTTTGCTTCCCTCTCTCTTTTTTTCCTTCTTCTATATTCATCTGTTTGGTTTCTTAAATTCCACATATGAGTGAAATCATATGGTATGCGTACTTCTCTGACTGACTTATTTCACTTAGCATTATACTCTCTAGTTCCATCCATGTCATTACAAACGGCAAGATTTCATTCTTTTTGATGGCTGAGTAATATTCCATCGTATGTGTACCACACCTTCTTTATCCATTCATCAATCGACAGACATTTGGGCTCTTTCCATAGTTTGGCTATTGTTGATAATGCTGCTATAAACCCCGAGGTGCATGTACCTCTTTGAATCTGTATTTTTGTATCCTTTGGGTAAATACCCAACAGTGGAATTGCTGGGTCCTAGGGTAGTGCTATTTTTAACTTTTCGAGGAACCTCCATATTGTTTTCCAGAGTGACTATACAAGAAAAGCCCCTCCCTAAAGCGTGATGCAGAATCAGTGAGGGTGGGATCGTGGAAATAGAAAATTGCCACTTGGCAACCATCACAGCGGTGTTTGATTCAGACTGGTGTCGGCAATGGAGGCTCAGGCTGGTGGGCAGAGGTTAGATGAGGATCAGGATATGGGCGTCATACATATTACTGCTAGATTTCAAAGGGGAAAATGGTGACTTTAAGACGGAGAAGTTGGCGACGTGATCAGAGAGTCCACCAGTGTCGAGACAGATGGACGCCAAGTGGTGTAATGCGTTGATGGGAGTGGGGAATCACTTCCGCGGTATTCCTGCCAGGAGAGCCCGATCCGGCTCTGCCGAGAAGAAACGCGAGAGCGCTTAGGTTGAGCGACATCCGAGAGAATATAAAGCCTGTATTCTTTCAGACGGTCTAGGACGCGCAAGTCGGGAAGACGGAGGAACTGTGGCAGATATAGAATACTCCAGAGACCCGACAAGCAAATGCAGTGCCCGGTTCTTGTTGGCAACCTGGACCAGAGAGGAAAGAGATGTTGTCTGGACACCTGGTGGCATCTGAATGGAGTTTGTGGATTGGGTGATGATATTGTATCCATGCAGACTTTCTGATTTGCAGGGTTGTATGGTGGTTATGCGGAGAATGTCCTCGTTTGGGGGAAATACACACTGGGATATTTGCGAGCAATACAACGTCGTGTCTGCAGTTCAGTTTCAAACGGTTCTGAAAAAGACTTAGTAAGAATGGGTATACATAAACACAGATAAATAAATCAGCATACACACACATAAAAGGGGAAAATGCACTGAAATATTAGCAAGGAGGGAATCTGGGTGAAGGGACATGAAACAAGAATTCTTTGCAGTGTGCTTAAAACTTGGCAGGAAGTTTGAAATGATCTCAAAACAAATTAGTTTTTCTTAATGCAGGAAAAAAAAGAGTAAACCTAATCGTCATTTTTCCCCAAGGCCATTTCAGCTCCCTGAGACAAGGGGTCTGTCATGTACTTCTGTGGTCTCCCTTGACACGTTGCAAGCCACACAGGGAGTCTTTGATTTGCTGGCAGGCAGGCCACGGCATAAATGTACAGAGCTGCTCCTCACATGTAACATGACTGACCAGTTAGCGATTACACTTGCCTTCACACACCACTGTTGGGTCTACCTTGAGTGCCATCCGGAGCAATCATCTCGAGTGAGGGAAGGAATCGGTGGTGAGTACTGGAGAATCCCATAGATGTTCTGCCTCACTCATTGGCTGGTCTCCCGGCCTTGCAAGCGTTTGCTGACCGTCTGTGGTCGGGAACTAGGCTGCCATTCACTTTGATGGTCTAGATAGAATTTTGCTGATTTGGGTCTGATTCCGCGTGCTCTTCCGGATTTGGTGACGTTTAACTTTGGTGTTGTCGGTTTTGATCAACCAGTGTATTCTTTTGGGTTTTCAGTTAAAAAAACACACACTTAGAGTTCCAACGGCACCTTCATCATTGAAATTTCTGAATAATAATTTTGTTATACGAGTCTGAAATTCTCTGACTTCTCAGCCCTTTTGTTCCTTTGAAAGAATTGTTTATGCAGCATGAGTGTTTGATGTTTCTTTTCTAAAGAGTATAGCGCTAGGCTCTCCGGAATATTCCGGAACCCAGACTGAGAGTTGGAAGGGGATTTAGAGGTTGTCCAGTGCACAGTGTCCAATCCAGACTGGAGAATGACTTCTATGCCATGGACCCAAGGGCTGCAGCTAAGGAGGAAAGAGTGGGCAGAGACAGGACCCAAGCCACAGGTGTTTCTCCCCTCAGCAGAAATGACAGCAAACATTTCCCTTGCTCGGCTACAGCCAGAGTCAGTAAGCACTGATCCACCCAATCTCCCAGCCCAAGCAGGAGTTCTACCAAACAGTCGTGAGGAGGCCCCAGCCTCTGCATAAACCCTTCCAGTGATAGGGACCTCAAAACGCTCCTGTTGAAGCTCTCCGATCTAATACTCAACAGAGGTCATGGCATTTGCTTCTTCTCTCCCCTCCTTACCCTGTACCTCACCCTGTCTTCTAATTCTCTGCACACCCACCCGGCAGGGCCAGATCCAGAAGGCACATTTCTGAGGCAGCTCGGTGGGGTGGGAGAGGTGCCCAGCTGCCCCCCAAGGGTTGCTGTGGCTGTCGCTTGCCTATAGTCTCTTTGACAGCTTTGTGCTCCGCGCTATAAATAAATGATTGTGAATGCTTATCTGCTTCCCTCTGTGTGCTTTTCAAGTTATTTTTGGGTGACAGGCCTCTTCTGTGTTAGGTGGGGGCCTGCATTATTGAAGACCATGCGTGCCTTGTCAAAGGGAAATAAGGTCAGCATGCACGTGGGGAGGCTGGGCTGGGCGGACAGTCGATTCGGGCTTGTCTGAGGTTCACAGCACCATTCACGTCCTCTTGCTGAAGGGTCCCAGGCAGACCACGGGGCCCCCGACACAGTCCAACTGCTCCCCACAGACTACCTTGGGTTCAGGCTCCACTCGTCACGTTAACTCTGCATCCACAGGCTCTAGTCCCTTAAAACAAGGCACATGGAATTTGCACAGGATCCTGGAAGAGGAGTCGGGATTCTTGGGCAACTATCCAGGCCTGCGGCTTCCTGGTTGGATGGCCTTGGGTGAGTCACTACTTCTCTGTGTCTCAGTATTTTTATCCATGAAATGACACTGCTGATCACTGCCCTGCCTGCTTAGAGGGCTGGAATGTGGGTTTTCATTTCCCTACTATGGCCAGCTCTGGCTGCTGAGGTCCCAGAAACATGGCCAGGGCTCAGAACATTCCTCAGCTCCCCTCCCTGGGAGGCCCTTGGAGGCCAGCAGCCAGGGCCTCAGGGACCTTTCTAGCGTGGCAAACCAAGCTGTATTCTTTTGACCTCAAGCGTCCATGCAAGAAACTCAAAAAGAGAAACCCCGCTTTACTAGGGCTTCACTTAGATCCAAACTCGGAGGAGGCATGAGACGGAGCTGTCCTCCTCCAGCCCTTCCCCCTCCTCCCTCTGGAGCCTCTCAGTGCCCGCGGGCCTCTGACCACCGACTTTCCTCAGAGCTTGCCTTCTGTTCCGGAGGAAACCTCCTCAGCCCCTTCCTCTTTCTCACTGTCCTGTGCCACCACCCCCAGGCCTGCCCCTCCAACCATCAGCGCATCTGTCCCTCAAATCCCTGTACCCCTTCCTCCGCATTTCCAGGCCTCCAGCACCTGTGGTCAGACCTTAACCCTGCAGACCTTAAACCTTTACACTATTGGGTCTGAAGACCATCTGCATCTATTGTGGTTTTCTGAGTCTTAATGAGAAGGAATCGATTCACCAACTGGAGGGGTTTTTGTAAAGCACAGCACCAACGTGTCTGAATACTTCAGGAAATGCCCGTTGCCTTAGGAATCCTTCCTCCTTATTTTCAGGAATTTCTTCTACCTGCGTCTGTCCCTGCCGGGTCACGCTCCTCACGGGACTTGTTGGGCTCTGGCTCCAGGCCTTCTAAGCCTGAACACTTGACTGTCTTCAGGATCCCTACTTCTGCGGCTCCCACAGGACAGTCTCTGGATTCCCCTGGCAGGACTCCCTGTTCCCAGCCAGCCGTGGCTCCTTCGTCACTCAGTCGCCAGCCACTGCCCCACCTTCCCTGCCCCTCTGCCCCCCATTGCTCCAGCCCAGTTCATTATCTGGACCTTTTCTGCTTTTCACCCTCCACTGATTTGCAGCAGGTTCCAATTAATAATTTTAAACGGTCACCAATTTTCCCTGAGCCTCAGGCAATAATGGAGATTTAGGTCTAAATTAAAATTTGCTAATTTAGAAACATTTGCCCATTAATCGCTGCTGAAGCCCTACGACTTGGCAGGCTTGTAACTCACCGCTGTCCCTTTCCTGGTCTGATCTCTCTGTCTCTGGAGGGGTTAACTCAGTGCTTCTCAATCCAGGTGATTTTGCCTCCAGGGGATGTTAGACAATGACTGGACACACTTTGGGTTGTTACTACTTGGGGAGGGGAAATGCTACTGGCCTTAGTGGGTAGAGGCCTGGGATACAGCTAAACATCCCACAATGCACAGGAAAAGTCCCCACAACAGAGAATTCTCTGGCTCAAAATGTCAATTATGCTGAGGCTGAGAAACCCGAATATAGAACGTTCCTGGGCTTCTCCCCCAGAAACCTTTCCTTGCACAGTCCTGCATTCTCTAGAGCAGGACTCGAAGGTTTTGTTTCTTACTTACAAGTGCAAAATTATCTTCTTAGTTGTTCGAGATCTGTTTTCTTTGTTTATTTTAATGGATCCAATACTCAAACTCAGAAGATTTTGCCAGGAAATCTGTATTCACAGCTTGTGCTGGAAGATGGGGGATCTTTTCACACTGGTCTCCAGTTCCCAGGTGGCAACATCCAGGGGGAGGTAGCAGCTCCCCATAGCCTTGTACATGGGGCATTACCTATCTGGTCACCAGTCTCCGCCATTCCCTGTTGCTGTTTGACCTTGAGTATCAGTTGCCACTTATTACCATGCTTGCTCTGCTGTTTTCTCATAGCAGAGAAACACATGTGTTCCAATCCTGAACCAAAAGTGGGAAAATCGCAGGTAGACTGGGTTGTACCCACATCCGTCTCTCATTTTTATCGTCTATTTTGTTTCTGGGCATTTGACTGTGCACTTCTTGCTCCAGATGGCTCCTGCTGAGCATGGGAGTGACCCTTGACTCCCGTAGAGTCCCTCCCAGGCCCAGCCCTGCAGATTCACAAGAGGCCAGCAGGGTGAGTGGAAGGTAATTCTCGTGTTCCTTTTAAGCTTCCTGCTGGGAGGTGGGGCTCCTGTGGATTGGGGTTCCCAGTGGATCCACATCAAACACTCCCCATGGAGCTCTAGAGAGAGCTGCAGAGCAGGCCTCGGTCACTCAGCCCGAGGGAGCCCTATGCCCACCCCATTTCCTAACACAGCGTTGGTGAATTGGTCCATGAGTTAAGGCAGGCTTGCTGCCTGCTTTGTCAATAAAGTTTTATTGGTGGATAGTCATTGCCATTCACTCACCTATTGTCTGTAGCTGCTTTCCTGCTACACTGGCAGAACTGAGTAGTTTTGCCAGAGACTGTATGGCTCACAAAGCCTAACATAATTTACCACCTGTTTCTTCGCAGAAAAAGTTTGCAGACCCCTGTCCTGACATAGAAGTTCCTGTCAGTTATATACACTTTGCAGTTTACAAAGCACTTCTTTTTTTTTTTATAATGTAATTGTATTACTTATGTTTTTAATTTACGTCCAAGTTAGTTGACATATAGGGTAATAATGATTTCAGGAATCGAATTTAGTGATTTATCACTTACATACAACACCCAATGCTCATCCCAACAAGCATCCTCCTTAATGCCCCTTGCCCGCTTAGCCCATCCCCCACCCAACACCCCGCCAGCAACCCTCAGTTTGTTCTCTGTATTTAAGAGTCTCTTATGGTTTGTCTCCCTCTCTTGTTTTTACCTTATTTTTGACAAAACACTTCTTTTGATCCTCCTAACAACTTCATGTTGTGGTCAGGGAAAAGATTATAGAAAGTGTAAACAAACATTTTTGAGCAGCTGCTGGGGGCCAGGTACTGAGCTCCCGTCTTTCACATGCATTTGCTCATGGCAGCCTTGGGAAGTAATGACTTTAACTTTACAGAAGCTCAGAGAGGTTAAGGGACGGGCCCACATTCACCCTCGAGTCCACCTGGCTCCCTGCCAGGCCTCTCTGCTCTCCAGCTTGCTCTGATGCAGCAGTCTCGACCCTTGGCTGCGTGTGGTGGAGGTCTATCACCACGGCACAGCCGTGGAACCCCTCTGCCCACACCCCCGGCACAATCGCTAGAGTTACAGCCTCTCCTCCCCCAGGCCTCGCACTGGTGAGTCACTAGGAGTAGAGGAGTGTTGTATTAAGGGTCAGTCCACCCTGCTTCGTTCTTGCCCCCTCTTCCCAAATTGCCCAAGGATGGATGCCCCATGAACTGCTGGGCAAATTCTTCCCCGGGTACCTGACAGCTACCATCCTTGACCAGCATTGCCAGGGGGAAACAGAGGCTGTGCATGCCCAGCCTAGCTCATCCTGACCCTGACCACTGGAGATGCCAGGATGAAAGGGCCAGGGACGTGGGGAGAGATTAGAAAGGAAGACAAAGGGAGGGGGTCTGAACTGAGAAGAGCACGGCCCAGTGGCCGCAATGGGGACAAGGGCCAAGGAATCAGGGCAAACAGAAAGCAACTGTGTGTTTCACTGCAAACGGCCTGCCGGCCTGTGAAGGGTAATAGATGGGAAGTTCCACGGGGCTGTAATCCAGTCCGATAGGACAGGCCACACAGAACCCACACACCTCTGTGGAGTAATTTATGCCACATTAACTCTGTGCACTTGGGCCTCCATGTGCAACCATGTGTGTCTTGACATCCGTGTTTTGTGTGAGCAAACAGGGCTGGCCAAACCCACGGGACCTCTGGATGGTTTCACGCATAGGAAATGATGGGAGGTGCCGGGAAGAAGTGCTGACCCCAAAACATCTGGGCCTGCCATGAAGCCTGATGTCCTCCTATTTTAGATTTCTATCCTGCTCTGGTACAGTAACCGGCACCCGACAGATGCTCCGTAAACATTAACTTGAACCCGTCCTTTCAACTGGGTGAGATATCTTGTGTACATATCTGCGTCTATACATATCTACATACATACATATGTATGCAGAGATTCTATTAAATGTAAAGTCCAGTACAAATGTTACCTATGTTTTCCATTATTGTTATCCATGTATTCAATACAAATTGAGTGCCCACTGTATTAATTGCTTTCCTTTTTTAACTCGCAGAAGAGGTTGGTGTGAGAGAACAGTAAACAAGCTGGCTGTACGTGCAACAGCCTCGGCCGTGTGGCTGTCAGAGAGGAGGCGAGGTAGGTGGGGCTGTGGAAGGAGCCAGGCTGGCAGCTTGGACTTGACCTCACAGGCATTCAGGACAGGCCGTGGCCCCTTAAGCACAAGGACAAAGTGGGGGGTTGGAAGTCAGCCTGGCATTGGCATCACGGAGTCCTCAGGTGGGGGATCTAGTTGGGAGGCAGGTGCCGCTGGTCGTGATCACGGTCATTACCTAAACACCCCGCCGCTCTGGAGCACTGGCCGCATGGCACAGAGATCTCCTTATCTCATGGAATCTTCCCGGCAACCTGAGAGATTTATATGTCCCCCTTTTCCAGTAACAAAACCGAGGCTCAGAGCTATGGGGTTGCAGAGGTGCTATGATGTGACAACAGGCCTGGAGGGCAGGGAATACCTAGCAGGACTCCGCAGCAAGGTTTGAAGCAGACCAGGTGGACGGTGGCTGCCTGAGGCCGTGCAGCTCAAGGGCCCAGAAAATGAGAATATAGTGGGGCCTGTCCCCAAGCTTCGGGCCTCAGAGGCCCCTACCGGAGGACAGACAGGGCCAGTTGCCTTCCCCTAGCAGGAGGAGACCAACTCCCAGAGTGCACAATGGCTTCCACTGTTGAGTCAGGGCATCCGAGGGGCCCCCGTGTCCAGCGAGGTTGTGATTCAGCAAGAAAGCAAGTCACTTCCTTCCCTGCCGACTGGTAGCAAGGCCATGGGCTGCTCTTCAGCCTGAGGTTCCCCTTGAAGACTGTGTAAGCCCACTCCTATCCTCCTTTCCCGCAACAAATTTCTTGCCGCAGACTTTTTATACCATGATGATGAAGGCCAGGTGTGGTGAAAAGACACCTCTGTGCTTCCGGAGAAAGTTCTCTCCCAGCTCATTCTCTCTCTGGCAACATGCCAGCCTTTTACTCACTGGGCCTGGGAAACCAAACATGATATGAAACAAAATAAAATGACACAGCTTCATTATCTGCCGGAGAAAGATGATTAAGCCGGTCTACTTTGTGTCCTGATGGGCTATCTCTGCACTGTGTGTCCAATGTTGCTTTCCTTCTGGATTAGGACGACAGTATGAACTGTCTGTGGGTTAATTGGTTTCTTGGAAGGTTTATTCATTTCTTCCTCTCCCCCTCTGAAGGCATAGAACATTTCACAGAGTCAAAATGCTCAGCTTCTATTTTATGTGTCCAGAACATAACATGCATCAACCAGACATCCTGTCACAGCCAGTGAGCAGTGAGGTGGGATGCCTTCCCCTCCTCCCAGAGCCTTGTTGCCAACACAGTCAGTGGGGCCCCCAACGGGCCGGGTGTGGACGACCGCCCCTCGGTGGGTCTGCTCCATGGTTTCCCCTTGGCTCCTGGGAGAAGCTGGACAGAGTTAACAGTGAGCTTGCCCTCGCCTTTCCTATCCATATCCCATCCATATCCAACAGTGTCTTAGGGCTTGACAAGACACCACACCCAGGAAGCCACCCTGGATTACCTGCACAATCATTATGATTGCAGAGTCGGTGCAAACCCCCTTCTTCTGTCACCGTGCTAACCACAGGCTTCTGACACCTGATGATTAAGGTCCAGGGCTAGAGAGGAACATGCCTTTTGCTTTCTAAGATCAGAGGTGCTTATATATGTCTCGTTTCTTTTCTTGGTTTGTTTGCAAGAACAAACATTGTCCTTGGAAGAATATTAAGGTTATTCTTTTTGATTGTTTTTGAGCCATTTGGCAGGTGTGTTTTTCTGGCCCCCAACTGTATTGCCAATGCCTCTGAGGCAGAAACCACACCTAATTATCTGCGGTGTCCAAGACCCCATAATATCCTCAGCACTCGCTGGAGTGGCAGATGATTCTAGGAAGCTGGGCGGCGTCAGGTGGGGTGCCAGGCCATGGCTCCGGAGCAGGCTGCTGGGGGCAAATGCGGACCAGGCAGCTCATTTCACCCCCTCATTGCCTCCCTTTGCACATCTGTAAAATGGAGATCATAATGCCAACCTCGTTGGGTCCTTGTGAGGACTAAGTACCTGGTAGAGGGACTGGCATGTCGTAAACACTGATCACATGCCTACGGGGCTCTTGAGATCCTGTAAACACACAGCACCATGCTCCCTTATGCTGGGCCTCTTGCTTCCTTTCTGGATACCCCACATCTGGCTTGGCCAGCGAGGGACAAGGCTGGAGAGGACACACAACAGGCCAAGCAGGGTTCCCACCACGGCTTGTACCTTTTGTATCCCTTCCCAGCACCGAGAGGGAACCTCACTCACAGACCTGGAGTAAGGCCTGGAGAGATCTAGGACCTCTGATTTGTTCCCAGACTCCCAGCTAAGCCTGGAAAGTCCCCACCCAATGGCTGGTGTTTACATTTCTATTCTTCCCTCCCCTGGGTGCTCCTGAAACGGATCTGTTGTTCTCCCCAAAGCCCCACCCCTGCCAGGGCCCCCGAAAGCTTCATCAACTGAAAAGAAAAGAACCATGACTCAGCAATGGGGGCCCTGGAACCTGACTGAAATCCCTGACAGATATTTATTGCAAAAACATCTCTCTTTATATAACAATTTAATCAGGCCGAGGTGTGGTAAGCAGGGAGGCACCCATTAAGCCCGGCTGTTAATGCAGCCAAATCGTCTCCTGCTGATGGATGTGGCATAGGCATGGCTGGTCGTTAGAAATTAAAGCGGAACCGAAATCCATTTGCTGCCTGGTGGCGTGGAGCACTGTTGTTACAGCTTAACACAAGCCATCTCTTGTGCGCTGTGAGGCCGACACACGGAAAGCCGCCTCCTGCCCCTGCGCCAGCTGTAATTCAGAGAGAGCGTCACTTTCATGTGCTTTCTCCACGGCCACGGACAATTGACCTTAGAGACACTTGATTTCCTGGAGCCACAGGTTGGAAGAGGCAGGAAGAAGAGGAGAGAGAGGCAGCAGATGAGGAAGACAGAGACAAGCCTCTTCTGGGGATGAAAGAAAAGACTGTGCCTTTGAAAAAGAAGGCAAGCTCTTCCCACCCCCTGTGCTTGGAATAACTTTCCACTCAATACTGCACAGTGGTCTCCTCTCTTCCATCAAAGCCACCCTAATACTCCTTCTCTGTGTGTTTTTTATGTCATTGTTGTCCTAATGGCAAGGTGATGCCAGCAGAAGGAGAGGGACATGGCTCGGTCGGACCTCGGGAGCAGGCATAGTTCCAGGACTCGGTGGTGTGTGCATCCTGGGCCGGGAACCGGCTCATCCAGCTCGAGGGTAGCGCCTTGGTCTATCCTGATGGATGCCTGTGCCTGGTATAAATGCAGGTGTTCTGGGACTCAGGCTTCACTGTATCCTGAGCACATTCCCTGCCTCGAGAAAACCCAGCGGGTGGCTTATTTTTGTCTTTGTGTCACTAGTCACTGGCATAATGTCGAGCGCTTAGTTGGTGACTACCCAAGGTTTATTTTGTGGCTGAATGAATGAACAAATGAATCAAGCAGAATTTTCAGGGTTGGTTATTTCCTCTAAGATTCCTCTCTTCTAAGCATCCCTCTTGGGTCCTCCCAAATGCTCAGAGCCTCTAATACACTTAAAATACAATTTGACTGAATTTGCCCGTCTCTCCCCCTCAACACAATCAGATTTATATGTAACTTTATAGAGCAGCCCTATTTCATAAAGGAGGGATAGGCTTTTGCACTTAAGTTCTTGATGGAATCTCAACATTTAGAAGCACAGACAGTATGTCGCCCATCTGTATGTACAGGTTCTGCAGTAGAGAGAGGGAGTGCATGATCCCTCTAGTCCTAAGTGCAGGGGTGCTAACTGGAGGGCAGACTTTTACAGCAATGACCCGATGCCTGGCTTTATCCCTGAGCTTCGGCATGGGGCCAAGAAGCCTCTAGGAGCAAAAGCGAAAACAGAAAGAGAAGGCTGTCAGCATCTCTCTCCCTGCTGGAGAATCAAACGTCCATCCTAAGAGTCTCTTAGGCTAGGATCCACTCATTAAACCAGACGCCACTCTATCATTTGCAAGCAATTCATTAGTCTAAACGGGTCTGAATGTCATCCCCATCTAAGGATTCGTCAGACAATTAATTAGAGCACAAAGCTAGAAGGAAAAAAAAAATCCAGTTCACGAGACCAAGTAACATTCTCATTCATGATAGTCAACTTTCCTCTAGGTTTCTGAAATGCAGAAGGAGGGTCAATGGTAGCAGGTGCCAATCCGGAGATGTATTGGAGGAGATTTTGCGATGTGCTGGGTTTTGGCTTGCCCACCTGACTGCTTCTCTGCTGTGAGCTGCTCCAAAAGATTTATGGTGCTGAGCCTTGAGTGGTGACTTTGGCTCCCAAGGATCTGAGAGCTGCATGTTGGAGAAAAACAGACATCAAGCACCACGGCACCAAGAAGAGGCTGGCCCTTGCTACTAGACGCAGGTGGTGAGCTGGGGCAGCCTGGGGCACTTCGAGCCGGAGGATCAGGGAACTCAGGAGGAGATGGCTTTGAGCCAGGTCTCATACTTCTGCAGGCTGCTCCACACCACACAGGAGCCAGAGGGACGGTGGCTGGGGCTGCCAGCTCTGTGTCCAGAGTCAAACCCCCAAGATCATCTCTGCCTTCCTTCCTGGAAGAGCTTGCCCCACACCAAAAGACTCAGCCTTTTGGTTCTCTCTGAAAGGACCACAGCAGGAGGCCCCTGAGGGACTCATAACTGGGAGCATGGAATTATTCTCAGACAATGCGTGATCAACTTACATTTATGATAGGTTTCACACACACACACACACACACACACACACACACACACTCATTGAATTATTTTACTTCCTATCATACTTCATATCACATCTTAAGGTAATGTAGGTCAAAATACGTTTGGTTGTGTTTTTCTCTGGGCTTTTAGAGAGTT